GGAAGGTTGGTGCCATGCTGGGGTTGGGGAGCAGAGCTGGGTGTGCAGCCTGGATGCTCCCTGCTCTTATTGACCATATAGTCTGAAATAAACCACCACGCTCAGTTCTTGCTTTTCCTCAAGGTATGGTTTTGACAGCACAGCTTGCCACATCTGTCACTGAAGCCCTGAGTCTGCTGGATTATTCTGGGCTGTTTTTCTTGAATGAATAGCTCGTTTTCTGTTAATAACGTGGTTACAATGCAAATTCTGCCAGGAGAAAGGAGGAGCTCTGCTGTGTGCAGTGCTGAGCATAATGGGAACCTGCTGCCTTCCAGGGCTGAGCTTATCTGAATGATTCACACTTGCTGCTGCTGCTGCCTGAGACCCATTGCTGCTTTGGGGTGTTTTCTCAATGGTCAATTTAAAGTCATTGTTCTTGTTTAAAAGAAATCACAGTGGTGGTGATGGTCAGCATTAGAGTGAGTCAGAGGTGGTGAAATGAAATAAAATGGGGTTGTGGCAGCCTGGGCAGAGTGAGCTGATGTTCAGAAGTTGTGCTGGAGCTTGGGGGGGGAAAATGCAGCACTGTGTGGAAGCAGAGGAGCTGCTGAAAGCCTGGATGTACCCACACTGCCTGTGGCTTCTCCAGTAAAAGCCACTGCCTGCTGCAGTGTGAGCACAGGACAGTCTGCAGGCACAGCAGTGCTGGGTTTGTCTTGCAGGAGCTGCTGCTTCCCCATGCTCCAGGGAGCAGGTCTGTGCCCTCTGCAGAGCCTGCTGCTGGGTTTGCCTGAGGGAATGGGAAGATTCAGAGGGAGCAGTGCTGGCTGGCCAACAGGCAGAAAGGAAACCTGTCCTCCTGAGACACAGACCTTCTTGCTTTGGACAGATAACATTTGTGTAATGCTAGTGACACAAGTGGTGTGGGGAAGGTAGGAGTTGGAGGAGAAAAAGAGTGGGCTTTGCAGTGTTTGGCTTGAGTTCTTTAATCTTGCTGAAAGATAAACATCCTAAGGAAGGCCCTGTTGCACCCTGCAGCTCTGAATGTAGAGGTGGAGCACCTGTTTCCAAAAGAAAGGCATTACAGCTATAGGAAAGTGGTGTGGGAAGGCTCAGAGCTTTAGGCTGATGCAGAGCTCTGCAAGCCCTGTTGGGCAGGGAGCACTCAGCATCCTTCTGAGTGTGGGGAAGGGGTTGTTTGTCTTCAGAAGCCCTGAAGGACAGAGTTCTCTGGTTTTAGTCCCTACATACGTGCTTCAGCAGCGTTCAGCTTTGGTGTAATATCTACTGGAGAATTGATTTGCTGTCCTTCTGTGCACAATGCAGGCACTCGTTTTAGGTGGAGGATATGGTGGGTTTCTGTTTTGTTGAGTTCCATCAAATGCGTGGCAGGTTGGGAGTTCTCTAACAAGAATGTTTTCCATGCGCAGTCTTAGGTGGAGAGTTCCTGAAGTACATGGATGCCTTCAAACCGTTCCTTGGCATTGGACTGAAGAACTATGCTGAATACCAGGTAGAGGTCAAAGCACAGGCTGTCTTGTGCTTGCAATCTCCAAATTGTCATCTGCTCTCAGGTGCTGAGCTCAGCAGCTGTGCATCTGTAAAACGTCACAGCTTTTGGTGGTGAAGTGCAAACGGAGTCCTGTGGATCTCTCTCTAATTAATGGCTGCACACACAGATTTAGGTTTCTCTTAATTCAGCAGAAGGCCTTTGTTGACTTTACACCTGGATTTTCACAGTGGTGGCACAGGAGTTGCTCTCCATGAGGAAAGTGGTTGCTGCCAGCTGTGAACTTCCAGCAGAAGCTGCTGAGCTGGGCAGCACTGGTTCACATTCCTGGCACTGGTTCATATTCCTGCCCTCCCCATTGGTGATGTGTGCTCAGCTCGATGTAAATGGTTAATAAAATTAAAAAGGGCTCATCAGCTTTTAGGAGGGCTGTTACTGTTGGTGACATTAATGCCCACAGAGTGTCACCACTGCTTTAATTTAATAAGCTGACACTGTGAGGATGGAGAGTGGAAGCCTGACTCACCGGGTGGGTGTCTGACTTGCTGTTCTATTTGCAGGTCTGTCTGGCTGCAGTGGGCCTGGTTGGTGACTTATGCAGAGCCCTGCAATCCAACATCCTGCCTTTCTGTGATGAGGTTATGCAGCTGCTCTTGGAGAACTTGGGGGTGAGTGTTTACCTTCTCATTAGCGGTTAGTAACAGTTGGTTTGCACACTGAGGGAAAAGTGGGAGGTGGGAGAAGCTGAAGTGCTAGGCGTGCTCTGAAGATCTCGTGTTTGACAACTGTGTCACTTCAGTGTTTGAATGGAATCCAGCTCTGTCGAGGATAAGGATTTCCATTTCCAGTGAAGGTCGTGGTTTATTAGCTCCTCCTATCAGGGAGGTGCAGCTGAACGTAACAGTGCTGAAATCTGTTCCAGAATGAAAACGTTCATAGGTCTGTGAAGCCACAGATTCTCTCTGTGTTTGGAGATATCGCCCTTGCTATTGGAGGAGAATTCAAGAAGTACCTGGATGTTGTACTGAACACCCTCCAGCAGGCTTCCCAAGCACAGGTTGATAAGGTGAGGCAGCTGCGTGGCTCTGTAGTTTGTTAAAATCAGAAATGAGTGAGGACTGCGTGCTCTGCTGAGGGCCCTGCTGACACAGTGCTCTCCTGCTGCCTTTCAGTCTGACTATGACATGGTGGATTACCTGAATGAGCTGAGGGAGGGCTGCCTGGAAGCTTACACAGGCATCATTCAGGGATTGAAGGGAGACCAAGAAAATGTGCACCGTAAGTACAAGTGGTGGTTTGTTTTTTTTGTGTGTGTGTGGTTGGAATGATGAAGGGAGGTGGGACAGCCTGCTTGGACGGGCTCCTGTTGCAGTGGTTGTCACATCCATGGGCACATCCTTGTTAATTCACCCCTATGTGGGAGAGAGCACTCAGCTGCCTATGTAGGGAATGAGCTTAGAGCCCTTCTTCGTTGTGATTCTTCCTCCTTTGGCTCCTTCTGTGGCTGAGAGCTCAGAGTTTGGCTGTCCAGGAGCACACAGGAAGGCCTTGTGAGAGGCAGGCTGTTAAACATGAGCTGTGTTTCACCCTGCTATAACGAGGCTCTTTTCTTTTCAGCGGATGTGATGCTGGTGCAGCCCAGAGTAGAATTTATTCTGTCTTACATCGACCACATTGCTGGAGATGAGGATCATACAGACGTAGTAGTGGCATGTTCTGCTGGACTGATAGGGTGAGCATCCTGATCCCTTGTGAACGCTGACAGTGTGTTTGTTAGATAGAATTCTGTGCATCAAATGCATCCGAAGCTGCATTTTTTTTCTGGCTGAAGTGTTTGTCACCAGTTCTGGGTTTTTCAGTCTGGTGCCACACGTTCAGCTGAAGGTGTAAAGCAGACAACAGAAGCGAGGCCCTTAATTGGGATGGTGAGAAGCAGCAGTAGTGACGAGTGGAAGTGATGATTGTTACAGAAGTTGCAGATTTAGGATTTGTCAGGGATGACCTGCCTTTAAAAACAAAGCACCCACGCCCTCAGGTGTGGAGGAGCTGAGGTCAGGGCTGAATTGAAGTGGAAGGGAAACATCGAGGAGATCAGTCTTGGGGTGGGAGATTGAACGTCTCCATTTATCACAACTAAGAGAAGCTCAGTTGTGCTGCTGCTGCAAGGGGTGACCGTATGCAGCGTTTCATAAAGGATGTGGGCTGTGAGTCAGATTTCTTCCAGCTAGCAAGAGCTGATCAGAGCGTTATTGACACACCTGGTTGTGATGCTCAGCCTCAAAGCCTCTCTTGCTTCTTCAGGGATTTGTGTACAGCATTTGGGAAAGATGTACTGAAATTAGTAGAAGCTAGACCCATGATACATGAACTGCTAACTGAAGGAAGAAGATCCAAGACGAACAAAACGAAAACCCTCGCTACCTGGGCGACTAAAGAACTGAGAAAACTGAAGAATCAAGCTTGGTAAGGGCTAACACCCACCTCCTTTCCACGTTGCATAATTACAAAATTGGCTGGACTCCTGAGCCTGAATGAGATGCTACACGAAAGCCTTGTTTTCGAGAAGGTTGTTCTTAATTTGTTTTCCTGTAAACAAACCCTGGCTGGGATCTCACACGAATGCAAACAGCAAAACAGTGAACTGAGCCTGACGAGAGCAGACTCAGACTCGAGGGCTCCTCGTGCTGTGAGATGCTGAGTCCTCACTGAGCTGCAGCAGCCCCAGAGGTGGCAGCTGAGCTCTGTGTGCTCCACAGCACCACTGAAGCTCCTTTAAAAAGGAGCAGGTTGTCGGGAGGGATGTGGCAGTGCCTTACCTCCAGGTTCCTGTGGTTTGCTTTACATCTGTGCAGCTTTGCTGGTGTCTCGTTTGCCCGTACGTTTGGTTTTGGTTCTTAATTGCACCTTTCTGCTTGCAGATCTGTGTTATTGGGATGACACCTGAGACCCCCACTGGAAATCTCCAATCTTTTGAAAAAAAAAAAAAAAAAAAAAAAAGGAGGAAAAAAAAAAACAACCCGCAAACAAAACAACCAACCAACAAACCAACAAAAACCAACAACCCGGAAATGAGGAGTGTGCACGGATGCTGAATGTTTGGGAATGAGAGGATGATGAGTGAGTGAGGCTTGAAAACACACCGCATTGGAAATCCTGCCACGGCAACAGCAGCAGCGGCGCCGTATGCGAGCTGAGCACTGACTTGCATCCAAAGCCTTGGCCTCCTTGGTCGTCTTCTGGAGTGGGAGCACCGGGCTCTGCTTGGCAATGGGCAGCTCCTTCCGACAGCGTGGGGTCGGCATCCAAGGGCTGCTCAGCAGAGAGAAAAGAGAAGAGAAAGAGATGGGAGCCAACCTCCATCCGCCCGCGGTAACCTCGGCCACGCGATGCTGTCGGTGCACGGGATGTGAGGAGAGAGGGGTGAAGGATTTTGGGTCTAAAGAGAGTGAGTGTGTGTGAATGAGGCGGTGTCTCCACATTCTCGACTTCGAGTCATTTGCAGTTTATCTTTTTTTTTTTTTTTTCCCAAAAAAAAAATGGGGTTAGCTGTTGCATTTCATAAACTAACCGAAGTTTTCAGTCTACTGATGCAGCGTAAGAGATGTAAAAAAAAAGAAAAAAAAAGAAAAAAAAAAAGAAAAAGGAAAAAAAAAAAACAAGGAAAGTCGCTCCTTTAGGGCTTTTAATTTTGGGGAAACACTGACGAATGTTCAGAGCTCCCATTCCGAGTGATGCTTTTCATGATCTCGTTTCATCAAAGCGCCTTTCCTTCCTTAATATTGTTCAACTGTGAATGTAGAAATGGGGGAAAATAAAACAACAAACAAGCAAACTCAAACTCTTGCGTTAGAGGGTATAGAATTAATGGTCAAACAAGATTTCAGGCTTCAAACTCAAATCCAGGCATCAAGTGCTCTGAATTGGCAGTGAGAAAGGGAAAGAGCTCTCCTGACTTTGTACTGTAGCAGCCCGAACACCCACAAAAATTGTGCCAAAGAGTTGAAAAACAAAATGAAACTTCAGGTAATATTTTGGATTGCAAAATGAGGATAAATTCAATGTTCAAACGAAATCTGATAAAAATGCCATTTGGAAACTGCTTGGCCTTTTGTGCTCTTTATTTAATCAAATCGGATGTGGTATTGGTCTCTTGCTGCACTTCAAAAACAAAAAAAAAAAAAAAGGAAGAAATAAATTTATATAAAATATATATATACTGACTTGAGCTTACACAAGACGGCACTTGTAAAAGGTTATATTTTTCCACTGCAGTTGAAGATTAATAAAATGGTGTCAAACATTCCCCAAAACTTCCTTTTTGTATTCTTGGTCTTTCCAGTAAAAGGGGAACCTGTTAACCATTTTCTTTTTTAATAGAGTAGTAACAGACTGATGGGCAACTCCAAAACAAATTGGCTGCTTACTGCTTCCCCAGTCACACAATGTCTTATTTCCACGGGAAGGATCAGAATCTCTCTCGTTTCCTCTTCCCTGAGGCTCTTGCTTTTGAGGAATCGTCCCTTGCTTATCCCAAACCACCAGCAATAAGCCCGGAGGGATGGAGGAGGAGGTGCAGGGTGTGAGGCTGTTGCTCATTTCATTTTTACTGATGCAGCTGTTGATGCTACCAGCATCCGAATCTGCAGTTTGAACGCGGGCGTTTCTCAAACCTCTTCGTGGGAGGGAGGCAGAAAAAAAACTCAGCTGGTTTCTGCAAATCTTTGTTATCCCCCCCAGTTTCCCAAATCTGATCCTCAGCCCCCATCGGCGGCGTCCGTAGCTCTTGTACAGGGTATCAGATATGTGCCTTTCAGTGCTGGGTTCAGATCGCAGTCCCAAGTGCCGACTTTGAACCAGTGTACAAACCTGATCCGAGCTCCCAGGTGCTGAGGTTGAGGAGGAGGAGCTCCCAAGCGCGGGCAGCTCGAGCAAAATGCCTTTTTTTTTTTTCTTTTCATTTTGTTTCTTGAGGTGGGGTGTGGGATTTCCTAAGAAA